CGTCCAGACTAGGACTGCAGAACCACCTCTGTGTTCACAGATAAACTCCACAACAGCGTGTCTTCTTTGAACCCGAAGGACTACTGTATTATATATCATTGACAGATAGCCGAAGTGGCTGACATTGGGAAACCCTACCAGTGGCTGGAAAGGGCTGGACTAAAAGACAGTGCTGAAGCACTGATCATAGCAGCACAAGAACAGGCACTGAGCACTTGATCCATAGAAGCAGGGGTCTACCACACTAGACAAGACTCAAGGTGTAGATTGTGCAAAGAGGCCTCAGAGGCAGTCCAACACATAGTGTCAGGAGGTAAGATGCAGGCAGGAACAGCATACACTAATGGCACAATCAAGTACCTGGCATTGTGTACAGGAACATCTGCACAGGGTATGAGCTAGACCCTCCCAAGTCCAGATGGGAGATTCCACAGAAGGTTATGGAGAATAACAGGGCTAAGATCTTGTGGGACTCCAGATCCAGATGGACAGGCAGGTACTGACCAATCAGCCAGACATTGTGGTAGCACACAGGGGCCAGAAGACAATGGTAGTGATAGATGTATCAGTGCCAAGTGACAGCAACATCAGGAAGGAGTATGAGAAGCTGGAGAAGTATCAGACCCTGAAGGAGGAATTAGTGAGGATGTGAAAAGTAAAGACCAAAGCAGTAAGCAGACTTCTAAGCCCCAGTAGCATGCAAACAAATAAGGAGTAGCTGATATGATTCTTTTAAAGATCACTTGTAGCTCTTAGCATGGTCCTGGTAGACTTGCCTTATAGAAATGTTGATATTTTAAGAGTTTATTTTCATCATTTGCTAAGTACAGTATTTCATTTCATCATGCTGTGGTAAGATGAGGAAAGCATAGGATTGGCAAATCATTTAATTATACAAATGTCCAAGTAGTACAAAGGTCAACAAAAATGTGAATTCTTTAAAGCAATAATATAAATAAAAACATTATTATACTTAAAACTGTATTTTTTTTCTCGCAAGAGTTACAACGGTTACTTTTGTTGCTCCAGAAATACATTGTTCTTGTTGTTGCATGCTTCCAATTAGTATATTCCGCAGTTAAAAATGTGAGAATCAGAGTTTAAACTACAAAATGGCATTCTGTTCTGCTGACAGAACCTGCTGGCGAGCCCTTTGCTATGAAGCCTCTACCAGCTTTGAAGACAGGTGCCACCAAAACTGATAGAAAACCATGAGTGGTGTCACAGAATAACACCCACAGTTACTATAACACTGGACTTCCAGTGCCCCCATCATGCTAGACTCTGCGCTTCCAGACTGGAATGGCAGAGCCACCTTGCTGTCCAGAGGTGAACTGCATGCCTTCTTCAAACCCAAAAGAGTACCATATCATTGTGAATGAACTGATAAAACAGCATACCTAATGAGATTCCCACAGATCAAGCCACAAACTTCCAACCTCTTTTGTTGAAGCATTTGGATATAGATTTGGGGATGTCTGGGGTTAGTACTACTTTGTATTACCTGCAGACAGGTAAATTAAAGGAAAGATTTAATCAGTCTCTGAAAAACTCTTAAAAATCTACACAAGATACAGTACCTCCAAACATTGGAATCTATGGCTGTTCTGATTCACACCAATAAAGCAATACAGGTAGTATTAAATAGTTTTGGGCCAGTGCTATGGGAGAAGGCTCTAGAAGAAAAACAACCAAGTCCTCTTTTCTGTTGGTGCCATCTGTGTTTTGATGTGCTGACAAAACCTTGATTATTATCATAGGGTCATGGGAAAGTAACTACTTTCAAGTCTTTCACTATGTTTGGTTCTGCTATCACTTTCAATCACTCCAAAAAGTGATTATCAAAATATCCCCTTTTCATTCATTCATTCATTCATTCATTCATTCATTCATTCATTCATTCATTTAAATTTATTGGCTGCCCAACTCCAGTGGACTCTTAAAAATGATTTTTAAAAG